GTTTTTAATTTTCTTTAGGGTTATTCTTATTTTAGAGATTTAAAGGGTAGAATGGAAAGTTTATTTTCTAAAAAGATTTTGATAGGATTAGTAGTTGGGTTGGTTATTTGGAGAATAAAAAAGAGTGTGATGTTGTAAAAAAATCTTGGGGTGGACTCCATTGAGATTTTAGTTATAGAGTGTATAGATCAAATATTTGAGCGATTAGATAAAAAATTTGAGAGATTCAATGATAGAATTTATTGGCAAAGTAATACAGCAAAGTAATACAGCAAATTTTACAACAAGAATATGATGAGGTAGAAGATAAAAAATTGATCACAAATCCAATCATTAATCACACATCACAACTTGCTTTAGAAGTTGAGTTGATTGAGAGTCATAAAATACACACGGTGGAAGGTGCAAGAGATTTTGGCATCACAATTAATTTTTTGAGAATATCATGATTTTGTTCGATTAAGATCAACAATCAAAAGTTCAATAAGAGGGTGAAAATTTCCAATTGGAACAAAGTGAAGAAGATGATGAAATAAAATTTTTGAATTCCATTGGCTTGAGGTCGAGCTTGTTCCAACCCCAAGAGAATGAATTACCTAAATAAAAATTGGGTCTATTTTAATATTTTCTATTTTTTTTTTTAAACAGTGTTATTTGGGTTTTAAATTTTTTAAGGTTATGCTTGTCTCGTAAATATTTAAATAGTAGAGTGGGAAGTTTATTTTCTAAAAAGATTTGGATAGGTTAGTACTTTGGTTGTAAGATATACTTGGTTTTAGCAGTTGTAAATATTTAAATAGTAGAATGGGAAGTTTATTTTCTAAAAAGATTTGGATAGGTTAATAGTTTGGTTGTAGTTTATACTTGGTTTTAGCAGGAGATTAGCATGGTTAGATTGTTAAAATATGTTAGACTATGAAACGCAATTCATTCCATGCTTGTGCAATGTGCATAAGAGATAGGCAGAGGAGCCACGTCACTTTCAGATGGTATTTCTTAAATCTATAATGAATTAAGAGAGAATTATGGATTAGAGAGAGACACGCTAGGGATAGAGTTGAATTTTATCTTTTTATTTATTATTATATTTAGTAGAAAAAAGCCTTTTCTTTGTAGATAGTAATTAAGAATAAAGAAAGAGTTTGATGATGTAAAATGAAATTCTTTTAATTTATTTATTTTTTTTACAATTTTTCTAATTTAATATTTTTCCTTACATTACCTTTGAGTTCAAAATTGAGGATATTTTGAAGGGATTGCATACAACTAGCCTATTTACTTTTGATATAAATAAGTTACAATTACTTACAACTATCTTATGTGAAATTTGAGTTCAAAATTGACGATATTTTGAAGGGATTCCATACAACTAGCCTATTCACTTTTGATATAAATAAATCACAATTACTTACAACCATCTGATGTGAAATTTGATAGCTTGGGTGTGTCACAAAATTCAAAAAAAATTCTTTTGAAGTTTGAGCTTGATCAATGGAATAAATATAGCCACCCAAATTCACATCTAAAGATCATTATTAATTGTGACCACTTTTTATCAAAGGTAAATTAATTGTGACCACTTTTTACCAAAAGTAAATGATCTCATATTATATTTTTCCTATTTCAAAAGAAATCCTTTCTTTGCAAATAGTAATTAGAGAATAAAAAACAGTTCAATCTTGTAAAAAACTTTTGGGATGGACCCATGCCAGGGAAAAGGTATAATATCTCAAACTTTTATTTTTATTTTTCTGGTTTATTAAATTTTCCCTTGAGGATATTTCGGAAGAGTTTAGGCAGCCAAATCATAACATATTTTAGAAATTTTCTTAAGCTCCACACAAAAGTTCTCCATGGAAGAAAAGATCAGTTGATAGGTTATCCTCAAGTTCCAGCTTATGCAATTAGCATGTAACAAGGCTCTCCTTATTTCCTTACTGAAGTTTATTCTAACTACACTTTAGTACCAAGAACAAGCAACTCAATTTTTAGCACCAAGAACAAGCAACTCAATTTTTATAAACAATGTCACGAACTATTTTAAAGTAGTGTGCATTGAATGACAGAGTCAAAGACAAAAAGTACATGTGTCTTTATACACCCCACCTCCACAAAACCATATAGACATACGCAAAACCAAAATGAGAGAGATCTCCAGTTTAGGTGTTCAACCAATTGGCTTTAATAATAGACAAAAGTAGACAGCTTTGCCATACAAGAAGCTCCACAAACCATCACATATAAACCACTCCAAATGAAAAAGTGGAGAAAACCAATATCATACATGCAAATAAGTCCTCAAAACATGTTGCGGAAGGCGGGCGAGCACACACAAACTGAGAGAGGAAGGCACGTGTGCACACACAGACTGAGAGAGGCGCATCAGCATGAGAGAAAGAAGGCATAACAGCAGGCTATAGAGAGATACGAAGCTGCACAGAGAGAGGCGACAAGCCAGAGAGGGCATAAGAGAGCACGCTAGAGAGAGAGTCTTCACCCCAAGTTGGCCTGAAGAAGCCCATCCCTGATCTGCGACGCAACATCACGAACAGCGCCAGGCCCATGTGGAATGAACACTGAAGAGGACTTCGCAGAGGCCCCAATCTCTTTCATTGTGTCAAAGTATTGGGTCACCAAAACCATGTCCATAACATCTTTAGCAGAAGTACCTGGAACATTGGAAGAGAACGCGATAACACTCTCTCTCAGACCATCGACAATTGCTTGCCTTTGTCTTGCAATTCCAAGACCAGAGAGATACTTGGACTCTGCTTCACCCTCTGCCCTCTTGATTTGGAGGATTTTCTCAGCCTCAGCTTTCTCGTTGGCTGCAACTCTCATTCTAGAAGCTGAACACATAAAAAGAGAAAATAAAATCGATGCCTTTGTAGTGATTAAGTAGTGATTTAAGAAACAAACTACAATGATTCAACAAATTTTTATGAGATGAATAATAATAGAGATAGGAAGCAAAGAATCATGCCATTTGATCGGTCTTTTTTTTTTCTATGATGAATTTATAAAAATTTCAGCAGGGCTTGGGCCATGTACCCTGGATTAAGGACAAATTTCAACAAAAAGATTTCTTCGTTCCTCAAAAATTGGACCAGAAATTAAGTCGCCATTTTTTCTGTTGATAAGTAACTTATTAGCAGAAAAAACTCAAATTCCAGTTGTTTAAGCAAATTCAGACTGAAATCTTATGTTGAAGTTTTGAATTTGAATGTAGGCAAGATGGATACACAACAATAAGAAATGGATATAACAATAAGAGACAACATCTCATTCCATTGAAAAATAAACAAGACATAAGAATAATTTCAAAGAGGCAAACAGGCTAGTTATAATCTAATTAGAAATCCAAGCTTCAAACAGAAAGGGGTATGCTTGGCACTTCCTGAGAACCACAGTATGACAGGGCAAGTTTTTTGGCAGTTCATGCTAACATGATTTCAAAAAGTCCAAACAATTATATCAATAAATTTCTGGCATGTTAACAGAGAAAGAAAAACTGGCATGTTTTTTTTTAATATGTCAAAGAAAAACTGGCATGTTAACAGAGATAAAGAAAAACTCTGAGGTTGCGTCAATGAAATAATCAACTTAACCAAGTTCGACTTGCACCCAAGTAATAGATCTAGAAGTAATTACATCAGAGTAAAAGCAACATTAATTACAATGGGCTCGGAGACAATAGCAATAGAGAAAACAACCTGCTACTTAATTCAGTTAAAACTTCATTAAAATCAGTTATTAATTACTATTTAAGTGATGGAATTGACATACTTATGAAATAAGAATAAAAATAGCATAAACAGACTTATTAATTACTAATTTAAGTGATGAAGTGAACATACTTATGAAATAAGAATAAAAATACAGCATAAACAGACTTGCCTGCATTGATTTCATTCATTGCCTGTTTCACTCGTGCATCTGGTTCAATGTCAACAATAAGTGTCTGGACTATCTCATAACCATATGCCGACATGGCCTGTGATAATTGGTTAAGAAAAAAACAAACAGTGTCAGCAACAAGAATTTAAAACCTGGGTGATAAAAGAAAAGTAACGTTTAAAGGATTTCATAAATAAATAGAATGAGTTTCTAACCTTCTCAAGCTCCTCCTCCACAGCCTTTGCGATTTCATTCTTTTGCTCAAATGCATCATCGAGGTTGAGCTTTGGAACACTGGCCCTGATAACTGGAAAAGAAACATATCTCAGTTTGCTGTTGATAATATGTGCATAATATTGGTTTCTAATATCCTTGATTAACTGGAAAATACATAAAACTCCTTTGGTTCACAGTCTCACAATAAAGCATCACACTTCAAACATTAAAAGTGCAGAGTTTAGAGTGCAGACTGAACCCAGAATATCAACCTGGGATTTCCATGAATAGCATAACAAAAACCAATTTAATTAAATTCCAGCGGTCCATCTTGAGAAACAGATGAACAACAATATAACCTGTTAAACATCGATATTGGTTTACGGTTTATCTTCTTACCATCAAAAACATAAGCTTGGATTTGATTTTTCGTGTTGCTGAGCTTATAGAAAGCATCAGAAGCCTTATCTGCCAAGGCTCGGTATTGGATAGATGCAACAACCGTGACAAATACATTGTCCTGTGAATTCAAACGATAGATGAGTAAGTGCAAACCAATTCAGTCCACTATCTAACAATATCCAAACTCAAACTAATTCAGATATGTACAAGCACTTTATCTTTCATGCCCTTTCATAGATATGAAACTGGACCACAACTCCGACACATTTCGGATCAAATCCACCTCACTCTTCTCAATCCCAATAAAAAACATTCAAAATTTGCAATCTCAAAGCTCAGAAGTAAATGTGCAATATCACAGATCAGAAGTTGACATGCAAACTGTGAGTTACGAAATGAATATCAAATTTACTTCCCTTTTCTCAAATCCCAATCAAAAAGATTTCAAAATGTAAAATCTCATATCTCAAAAGTTGAGATGCAAAGTCTAGGCTACAAAATATGTACCAACCTTAGTTTTCGTCTCACATCGAACATCGAGCTGCTGCACCCTCAGTGTAAGGTAACCAGCCACCTGGCTTCCCAGGCACCAGGGCAGAAAATGGCACCCAGGTTCTAGGACATCATCAAACTTCCCAAATTGTTCTCTAATGGCAACATTAGATTGATCAACTTGCAGACAACAAAACAATTGCCCCATTGCTTGACTTCTACAAAGTTGACACAAGCAGTGATGCATTAGGCTCAAAGCTCACAGGCATAAACAACATTCTAGTTTTACCAAATTACTAAGTCTCACACCATTGCAATCTAGTAAAATAAGAATACACTCATCAGCAATACGACTACAAAACACATTTAAATAGGGATGATACAATGCAATATATCTTCAATGATAAAACTTACAAGACTGTACCTAATCCAACCTGATAATAACCTTACATATCACTTAACGCATTATGATAGAACATTAGAAAGATTGACATCAGAGTGAAAAAAGAAGATTAAGAACTATAGTGGTCACCAATCACTAATTCTACTCAACTTTCTCTAGGACTAGATGATAGAAACAAACCAAACTGGTTAACTAGAAACTCAAGCCCAAGAAGGAAATCGAACCTCATAAGATCTGAAACCCAATACTGAAGAGACAGAACATAGAAACCCAAGCCCAAAAAGGAAATAGAGACCAATAAGATTCAGAAAACCAATACTGAAAATACATCAAAGAAGAATTAGAATTCCGTTTTCAAAAGGAGATAGCTCTCATGATGAAGTCAAAGCTAGTCTCTACAACCAGTAGTATCTAATCAAAGGAGAAGAGCACTTACTAAACGAGTGATAAGCATATCATGCTCACACACTTTTCGGCCAGAAAATTAAATGATACATGTGAACCTGCTACTGAGTTTCAAGCCATCAAACCTGCTACTGAGTTTTAGAAGGCCACTATCTCTGAGTTTGTGGCTGAGTAGTGTGATCATGCATTTAATATGTTCATCACTCTTAAACACCATTTATAGACGTTAGAATCATGATAAATTGAGCCACAAACTGAAGCAGACATCAAATTCCAAAAGGTATTAGAGACCCAAAGTCCTATAAGGAATTAGAACCCAATCCCAAAGGAAAATACATCTTATAAGATATAAGAAACAAAACCCCAGATAAAGGAGAAACCAAAAAGGAAAAGGAAACCTATCAAGTTCCAATTACTATAGTCAACTCAAAAAAAAAAAAGACGTTTAAAAAAAATTTCCAAGATTGCATAGCTCAGAACTATGGAGTACAAACCAGCAAATTATAAACAATATTTAGAAGCAAACACATTGTGAATCATAGTTTTAAAAGCCTAGTTTTGAGAAGAAAATGTGCCTACAAAGGAATAGAACTATGTATAATACCTCATACACTTAACTTTGTTAGTCCATACTTTGTCTCAATGTTGGGATTAAAGCCTAAGACATTAATTTGCTTAGTAGTTAATCAAAATCCTCCTTAGATTACAATAAAACACCAGGAGTCATACACATCTGGCAAAACTTTTAGACAATAAACTCTATATAAATTAACATTTACATACACAAATTCATAAGAAATGAAGAATATATGTTGGGAACTGCAGAATTTTTGGGTGCACTCCAAGAACAATCAAAAGCAAATTACTACCGAACCATATGGAAGCTAAAAGTGTCAAACAAAAAGGGCCTATTTCCAAATTGCACTCAATGATAAATTCAGATAAATCAAACCTCATAACTTCACAAGGAACTACAGATCCGATTCAAGAAGCTTAGTGACAAATGACAATAAAACCACAAAACAAGCAAATTGAGAAGGAGGGAGCGAAAGACCACACTTGCAGCAGAATAAGTGTGAAGAAGAGCAGATTCAGAATCTTTGTTGGAAACTAAGAATAACAGATTCTCTCAACACAAAATAGTTTGTCGATAGATTCAGGACAAAAAAAAAAAACTCATAAAGCAAGAAAGATCCTAGACAGAGTATTTGTCCAAAAGGTTTATATATTGGTATCATTTATATATAATACAAAAGTAATGGTTCAAAAAATAAGAATTCCTCTATGAAGCAGATCCAGTCATTAAGGTATCGTGGTATTTGTCTCATATTCCTAGATTTGGTGATTTCCACCGAATATGAATTTCTGGGCCCACAGGAGAAACAGCCTGTAGTTTGGTCCACTGATGCCAAAATTGTTTTAAGACACAAGAAACTGTGTGAATGTAGATGTGCTTTTCCAAATTTGTTTCCTGAAAATTTCCCCAACTCTGGGCAACTTTCAGTCCAAAATTTCAGTGGTACCTCATATTATCATCCATATGTCAAAGTCAAAATCTCAAATATGCTAGAATTTTAAGTTATGTAAAACAGAGGTCAAGGTGGTAGCACCACACTCAGGTACCGGTCTCGGTTTCCATTCCTACCAATGCTAACCCCTTTCAAAAAATACGAACGGTTTCAAAAAATTGCTAACCCACTACTTATAGTAAACGTTAAAAAAAGGAAACAAGTCATTTTTGCAAACAAGTTGTATCTTTGCTCATTAACAACAAAAAAACAAAAAGTTAAAGAAAAAAAAGCAATGTGTTTAAAAAAAAAAAATTCAACTACCCAGAAACCAATCTAATGCATAAAGTGCATAGATGGCATCAAGCTAAATCTATAAGCTGTCATGCAGATTGAGGCAAATTGCTGAAAAGGATGAAGCATGTCACACATACAGACTAGGTTTAAGACTGAATCCTTTCAAATAGAATCAAAATTAAAATACAGCAATCATTTTGCCTTTTGAGAAGATAAATGAGTAAACAATGACATAGCAGAGCAATTTCACAATAGCCCGAGAAACCCATGAGTAAGCAAAACAATTTCGGACACAATCTAACAACCTGAGTAGGTGATGGTAAAGCCAAAACAAAATTCTTGGTTACCACTGCAAAAAATAGAAATAAAAATAATAAGACTCATTGTATGAAAATATTCCATAAACTAGGAGTGCCAACATCTGACCATATTCTTGGGTATTTTCACTAATGGAAGATGCCTCGAGAATTTTTAACGAACTTTTCTGCATAGGAAAACACATCGTTTGCACTAATTTTATGGCTTTATCTCCACTACTTGGGCTTTAGCCAAAATTTTCACCAATTTTCCCCAAATCTTCAATCTTTTCCAGTGTTATAAACACCGCCAACTCTTTTAACTGCTGAGTAGCAACCAATATCATTGCACGCCTAAGGTATCTAGCATATTCCAAAGATGAAATAGTAACAGAAGTTTTTAAAGCATCATTGACAAACTATAAAAGAAAACAAGAAAGAAAGAAATAAAGAAAGGCAACAACTAGTTATATATGACAGATTTGTGCGCATTTGGGGTGTCATAAAAGAAGAGAAAGTATAATGTATAAATTGAGTGTCATCAACGAAAAGAATATAATATGTAAAGAAAACAGATAACTACTCATTCACAATCTTAGCACACCCACAAGCTACCTACCAAGGCTGTAATTGAAATTTATGTGACCTAATTTAACAAAAAATTGAACCTCAAAGATCCAGATAACGAAAACAAAAGGCCTCTCGATATTTTTCATAACATAACATGGATGAACATATCATTGGAAGACAAGCAATTTTCCCAAAAAAAAAAAAGAAAAAAAATTGTTTAACCAATTAAATGAACTGTAATTACCAAAACTGTGACCATGAACAATTTATCAAGTTTTAGGTCTTTGAGTGAAGAGATTGGCGAGAAATAATTTAAAGCTTCCTAAACTAAACGCATGCCATGGTCCATTTATATCTCAGTTCATCACCATCATCATCCAAGCTTTATCCAATGATTTCGGTTCGGCTATCATGACAAGACGTTGCAAAGTTGATGTGGCATAGTTTTAACTTGCTGCCTAACCAACGCAACCCACCTCCTTTACCCAAGCTTGGGACCGGTTAAAGGGAAAGTTTAAGATCCTCACCCCATTAGACCACCGTTTATATAACTGGAAATTTCCCCGCAAGGTTTTACTAATCAGGGATTTAGTACAAAGAAACCTATCAAATTCAAGCTCCTTAGAATAATAATCCTCCGTATTCGAGCAAAGAAATCACATCAAACCCATGGTTCAAAAAAAAGAGAGAATTTAAGTTTTTTAATTGTGAAAACTTATAACACACTAAAATTATCAAATCCGCAGCTTAAATTCCAAAGAAAACAGCAAAAAACTAGCACAAAAATCACATCAAACCCCTGGTTCAAAACGGACCAGCAAAGAAACGAGAATGAAGATCCTTAACAAGAAGAAAATTACAGTTAAATGAACAAATCTGCTCTAAATTCAAGAGAAAAGCAGCATAAAAAATTCACACAACAGACAATAAAATATGGAAGTCCGGGTTCAAAACGTACCAGAAAATGAAGAATGAACCCTTAATGGAGAAAAAGCACTCTGCTCAATTATTTATAAAGGAAGGCAAACGATCACGAAACAGCAAGGTAATCTCCGAAAAATTACAGAAAAGGACAGGCAATAAAAGACGGGCCAAAAAAATGCGTTTACAAGGGTTTAAAATTAGAAAATCCTAACCCTAATTGTGGACGAACGCGTGAGAAACAGGGTACCGAGCATAGGGAAAATAATTGTGGTCGCGCGCTTTGGAGTTTAGAGAGAGAAAACTTTGTTTATAATGGAGACGGATAGGGTAGAGAGAGAAAGAGCGAAAGTTTCGTGATACTCAAATAAATATTAGAATATGCTCAAAATTTTGGAATAGCGGGGTACGAAGTTCGTGTTGCTGTCGAGTAAGTAATTGTGATCATCTTGCATTAAAGGTATCGTGAAAATAATTTATAGTTATTTAATATAATAATTATATAATAATATAATATAAATATATTTTAAAAAAATAATATTTATAGTATTTGTAAAATTTAAAATTTTTCATATATATTTTTATCATCTCAATAATCAATCTTTCAAAAAATAAATTACTTTACACTTTGAAATGGTCAAATGGAGTCTCTTTCAACAACGAATCTAAACTATTCATTTGGTGAATTTCTATATTTTAACCTTTATAAACTCAAAATCATTTTTTATTTTTTAGTATTGTTCATCTAATGATAATAAAGTCATCTAAAAAAAATTAGCAAAGAAATAATCCTTATAAGACTTATATGATTGTTCATGTTAATTGGGTTAAAAAATACTTTATAAATTATGTTTTCAAAATTTTCTTTTTTGTAATTGCCCATTATAATAAAAAGAGTATTTATTCTAAAATTTGTATCAAACAAATGGCCCTAACATGATTGTTGCATTAAATTACTATACAACCGTTGCATTAAATCACTGAAATAGTCTGTTTATATACAATATGTATTTATGACCATAAAAGTTTCAATATAACAATAACAATTTTAACATAATTATAGTTAACAATTTTTACATAATTATATTCATTCACATAACGATATTAACATAATTTATGCAATCATATTCATATAATTATACTAACATAAGTTTAACATGATTATATTAAGTTATTGATATAAATACACAACAATAATTTCAATATCATAATTTTTTCTAAAAACAATATCCTATTTTTATAAATTAATTATATGGATTTTTTTAATTTATATAATTAAAACTTAATCATATGTACTTTAATTTTTTGTAAATTATAAAAAAATAAAAATTATAAAAAATAAAAATTATAAAAAATAAAAATAAAAAATAAAAAATAAAAATTATAAAAAATAAAAATAAAAATTTTTTTGTAAATTATAAAAAATAAAAATAAATATTGTTTTATAGAAGGTTTCATTTTGTAGACAAACTTTCCCTTGTATAAGCAATAAAGAGAGAGAGAAAGAGCAATGTTAATAGAAATGTGGAGATGTTAATAGAAAATGTTTGACTTTGAAGTAGAGGTTGAAGAGGTAAGTCTAACAATTAATACCTCCGAAAATTGTGAGAGAAAAAGACAGTATGAACCCCACGTCACAAATAAATATCTAATGCTCAGGACGTATGCCTTGACGATCAGTGCGTGCGTAAGTGAATAAGGTGGGCCCCATAAGGGACCAGGCCGCTGACAATGAAACCTGCACAATAAGGTTGGGACCACAATACATTTCGCCTTAAGAACCATCTTAAATTACAGCTACCCTACAAATTTTACTAGAAGGGGTTGTTTTATGCTCAAATATCTTCAATTTGATCATTAACATCAAGATGCATACACATGAGAAAAAAAATGGATGAATTTTGGAAATAGTGTATTTTTAACATATTTTTTGACTGTCAATTTTCAAGATTTTTAAGTTTTCATAGATTCGTTGATCTACTCTATGTTTTAAGCTTTAAACTTTATAAATAAAGATGTAAATATGTTTTAAAGCTATCACAAATATTTTTAATATTAAAACCATATTTCTCATTACTATTTGATGGTAGGGTCTAATATGAGTGTTTAGAGCCTGAGCTCTAGACAAATCGCACCCTTTTCTTTTTATTCTTTTTGAGTTTGAAACGTGGACAATTTACACATGTGTAGCCAATGAAAAGTTAGTGGGAAGTGGACGAAACTTGATTAAGACCCCCCAAGTTCTTTGCCCCATAAATTGAAATGAGGGCGCAATTGTCTTTATCCCAAAGGCAATCCAATTGATCCGGAAAACACATAAGCATTTTACCCTACTCAACTTTCCTAACAAATAACCCTAGTACAATTTTTTTTTTTTTGACGAAAATATCATTTCCTTCCCTAACAAAATATTTTTGTTGGAGATGGTGGTCCGGCATTTTGAACGGGTCATCCGACAATTATTTTTGTTGAAAATGGCCAGTCCGACGACGATTTTTGCTGAAAATGGCCAGTCCAATGTTTCATGGCGACAGTCTGATGTTTCATGGAAGTCCGACGTTTAATGGTGGCGGTCTGACGTTTAATAGTGGCAGTCCAACATTTCATGGTGGCAGTTGGCGTTTCATTGTGGCGTTCCGGCGTTTCATGGTGGCAGTCCAGCGTTTCATGGTGGCAGTCCGACGATATTTTTTATTTTTTTGCTAGAATGAGCTGTCCTACGTTTTGAAGTTGCGGTCTGATATTTGGTGCATGAGGGAAGGGCATTTTTATAAAAAAAAATAATAATAACTTTTTGCATAGAATTTTTTTATTTTTTATTTTTTATTTGTAGAAAAGTTGTTAGGAAAAGTTAGGTGGGATAAAATGAGTAAAAAATCCATTTTGAGAAGTTTTTGCAATTTTCTTAGTAAAAAATATCTAATTGAATCTTTCTAAAAAGTAGATTTCTTTTTTTTTTAGACAAAATTAGATCTCTCCCTACAACTATTTCTTATTATCTTCTCGTCATGGTCTTAAAAATCAGGAATCTTCAATTCGAAACGGATTTGAAAAATAAAATTAAAAATATAAGTAAAAAATATTTTGGAAAGAAGATGGAAAATCGGGAATCTTCACTTCGAAACGGATTTGGAAAAATAAAATTAAAAATACAAGTAAAAAATACATTGGAAAGAAGATGGGAAAGCAGCCAAAAATAATTAAAAAAAAAACAAATTTTGAGATATCCATTTCTCTTATTTTGATTTTTGACAATATAAACGTATATAGCTGATTGATATACAAATTATTTAAACAATTTTTAAGTTTTTTGGTCAATAATGGAGAAAGAAATTAAAATAATGGTGGATTATAAGTTTGGGGCTGAAGAATCATGAGATTTGATAAAAAATCTCATCAACGTCTCAAATTGACCCAAAGAAACTAGGTTTGAAAAAATCTTTGACAATCAACCTTGAGGGCTAAAATGTAGGGTTTTTCAGGAATAAATAAATAAATCAAAGCATAGCTTGAAATCAAATTTTTTGGTTAAATAACATATCTTTTTGGTTTTTTGGGGTATCCGGCGACCTGGTCGAGTTCAACCGAAAAAGGCTCCGCACCCTACCTGACCCGTGTAGACTCGACTAGTAATGAGTCAACTCGCAAGTTTTTCACTCACTGTTCAAAACTTGTACTTTAGCTCTCATGGTAGAACTAGACCTTTTTGAACACCAAATTTTGGGAATGCAACTTCTTGTAACCGACAACCAACCTCAAAGAAGCCAACAAATAACTGAAAACGAAAAAGAAAAAAATCCCAATTTCTATATGCTCCCAATAATGTACACGAGAAAAAAGCTAATGAAGAATCTGGCGATCATTTTTTTTATCCGCAACTATGTTGTTTCTGGAATTTGGTATTGGTTGTTTAGGTTTTTTGGGGTTCACGCTTATCTTCCCTTATCAATGTTGAGCTTAGTGTATCATTTACCTTCTGTATGTATTTGGGTTTGGCAAATAGCGAGAGGGGCTACTCTTTGGGAACTTTGGAAATAATGAAATAGGCGGACGTTTCAAGATAATAGTCTCTTTTTTGACAGATTGCTTAGTAATGTCAAATTGTCTATTTCAATATCAACACTGACTATTTGGCAAATAGCAAGAGGGGCTAATCTTTTGACATTTAAAAACATCAATATAAACTTCAACAGTATTCACAGCTTCTAGCACATACTCAATGTAGATTGAATATTCAGTGTAACACATAGTTACTTATGAGCTCCAATCACATCAAATGAGCAAAAATAACACAAGCATGGCAATTAACGCTTATTGCATGGCAAAAGAATCAGTTTTGGAAATATATCGTGAGAACACTACACCATAAAAGCTCTCAATGGATCCAAACAGTGCTATCTATCATCTATCCTTTCATTGCAAAGAGGAAAAGTTGAAATGGGCAGTCACTTTTGTGCACCCAATGGTACAAACTATAAACCCCATAACCAACTAAAAGTACCCATTACCAAAATTGGAACACAAGCAAAATCATAGTCTTTTTGCTATTTTTTACCGTAAAATAGTGAGAATTACATATAAAAAAACCACATAATTTTCAACAAAAAATTGTGATTTAATCAATCCACGTAATTTTCTAGTTCCAAATACATTAAAATTGTCAACTAAAAAGCAAATTTAACTCAATAACTCAAAAATCCCCCAAATTTACAGTTCTTAAAAACCCCAAAATTTACACTTCTTAAAAACCCCAAATATGACTCAAACAAATTATCATACTTATAGAACTGTGAAATTCATCACATAAACCTTAAATCGACCTCTTCTACTCAAGTGTGAAACCCTAAATCATAATCTTATACAATATAAACTTCTAAAATCGAACAACAAATCATTATATACATACCTTCACTACATATTTGATATTTGTCAAATGTAGTTATAATCTGTCAAAAACATTGTAACTAAATCCAAATAATAGGTTTTTTTGTGAGAGATGTAAGAGAGAGTGAGGGAAAAAATCACGGAGGAGTGAAGGTGGAGTGCCAAAGTGTTGAACCATAAGTTTAAACAAGCCTCACAAGTTTTCGGTTGTTAAAAAACTGAAAAAAATTAAATTTTTCGTTCTTGAACAACCGAAAATCCATCGAATTCGGTTGTTCAACAACTGAAAAAGAGTAAAACAGTATTTTTTAAAAAAAATTCGTTATGAAGTAAAAAAACGGACATTCCAGTAATAACAGAAACTATTTGGTATTTTGGTAATAACGGAAACTATAACGGATATATACGTAATTCTCCCTTTTAATTTTTTTTACATATTTATTTCTTATTT